TTTTTCCCGCATAGCACTTAGTTCCCGATTTTCGGCTGGCAACCGAGCTCTGATACCATTTGTAACGACCTGGGTCCCACTTAACGGGCTGTCCCAGCCGTTAAATCGACGTACTGTCCTCACTGTACCAACATAAGTCTTTTCAGCATGCTTTGTCCTCACTCGCACACTCCTCGAGAAAACTTCCCAGGAGGTCACCCACCATAAAATTGCTCCAAGCCATGCAGGCTTAACTGTGGAGTTTCTAACGATGGACTTCCGGAAAAGAAGGTGCACCTTGTTGGTATGAGTAGTACCTATCAAATTTTTTAAGCTTTCCTGATTTGGGTATTACAATCACCCCTTGTTAGACTCGCGACGTCCTCGTCGCGCTTGATCCATCTGAGGATCCGTTGCCAAGCGTTGGGATTTTAGAGGTGGCTCCCGCCCTATGACATAGCACTTTGTCCCGCATAACACTTCGTTCCCGATTTCTGGCTGGCGACCGAGCTCTGATACCATTTGTAACGACTCGGGTCCCACTTAACGGGCTGTTCCGACCGTTAGATAGATGACGTACTGTCCCCACTGTACCAACATAGGTCTTTTCAGCATGCTTTATCCTCACGGCACGCTCCCCAAGAAAACTTCTCAGGGGATCACCCATCATAGAATTGATCCAAGCCAAGCTTCCTTAACTGTAGAGTTTTTAACGATGGACTTCCGGAAAAGAAGGTGCACCTTGTTGGTATGAGTAGTACCTATCAAATCTTTTTAACTTTCCTAGTCTGGGTATTACAGAGGACGTCGCGCTTGATCCATCTAAGGATCCGTTGCCAAGTGTTGAGAAAACTTCTCAGGGGATCACCCATCATAGAATTGATCCAAGCCAAGCTTCCTTAACTGTAGAGTTTTTAACGATGGACTTCCGGAAAAGAAGGTGCACCTTGTTGGTATGAGTAGTACCTATCAAATCTTTTGAACTTTCCTAATCTGGGTATTACACTTGTCACCGCCAAGAACACATCATGTTGGTAATAGATAGGTTTATGTTCCGAAGTTGAATCCTGATGGGATTGTTGATCAACTGAAAGCCCGACTAGTTGCTAAAGTTTATACACAAACCTATAGTATTGATTATGAAGAAACATTCTCTCTAGTTTCTAACTTTTCTTCTATTCGTTTTTTAATTTCTATTGTTCCTAACCATAATAGGACAGTATTTCAATTGGATATTAAAATTGTCTTCCTTCATGGTGACTTGCACAAGGAGGTTTATATGGCGTAATTACTTGAGTTTGTTGCTCAGGGGGTACTAGAATTACGTTTGTAAGTTGAAAAATACTTTATATAGGTTAAAGCAATAACCAAATACATGGTTTGTGAAGTTTTTTTATGTTGTTCTGGAATTTAGTCTTTAGAGGTATCAGAAAGATCATTCAAAATTTTATCTACAAACTAATGCAGGCTATGTTATCATTGTAGTTTATATAGATGATATTATAATTACTGGTGATGATGGAGATGAAATTGCCCGGTTGAAATTGTTTCTACAAAAACATTTCCAGGCCAGAGATCCAGGCAAAATCTCAGATTTCTTTGGTATTGAAGTCGCTAGGTCTCGGGCATGTATCAACTTATCTTAGAGAAAATATATACTTGACTTATTAGATGAGATAGGTTTTCTTGGAACTCGTCCAGTTGATACTCTATGGATCCTAATGTGAAGCTTTTGAATGATGAAGGAGGACCGTTTGGAGAACTAAGAAAATATCGTCGTTTGGTTGGAAAATTGAATTATCTTACCATCACACGACCATATATTTCGTATGCAGTTAACGTCATTAGTCAGTTCTTAGATGCTCCTCGAGTTGTTCATTGGAAAGTTGTGATACATATTATTCGGTATTTGAAAAAGGCTCCAAATCTTAGATTATTGTATAAAATAAATGGATATATGGGTTTACAGATGCAGATTGGACAGAATCTCCATCAGATAGACAATCCACTATTGGTTTCTATACTTTTATCTTGAAAAAATAAGAAACAAAATGTAGTAGCAAGGTTAAGTGTAGAAGTAAAATATAAGGCGATGGCTCATACTACTAGTAAATTGACATGATTGCGACACTTTCTTCAAGAAATCAATCTCTCTCCTTTTACCCCTATGTCAATGTTCTGTGATAATCAGGCTACTCTAGTGCATACAATCCAGCCTTTCATGAGAAGACCAAGTACATTGAAGTTGATTGTCACTTTGTTCGGGAAAAAATAGTGAATGTTGATATATGTACACCATTTGTGAAGACAAGAGACCAACTTGTTGATATGTTTACAATGTCGTTGAATAGTAATCGATTGGGATTTCTTTGTTCCAAACTGTATTATATATATATATATATATATATATATATATATATATAT